TTTGCAAAGCTTGCATTGTTTACATCCATGTTTGCTCGCTAGCAGCCTTCTTCTTACTCTCCTTTCCATGTGTGTTGCTACATCTTTTGGTGCATCACAGTGACCAACTGTTGGAAATTGGCAGCAGGGACATGTATTGTGTTGCCCGTGTGTCATCAACTCCGCTGGATACCATAAACCATCATATATATGTTAAAGAAAAGCAGCAAATCGTCAACTAAAATGTTTTAAGTTGAGTTTTTTGGAGAACAATTTGGGGTTCATTGTCGAGCTCGAGGTCACTTGGACATGCGCAGAGGAAGAGCAGGGGATCGAACAGCCAACCTTGTGGTTTAAAGGACAATCAAAAAATGTAAGTTAAAGTTATGGACGATGGAAACTGCAGTGACACATCGGATGAATTATGAGTTCCAAGTAATCGGACATGAACACGTGTGTAACTGTGTCATAATGCAGCATCACACGGACAAATCTTCAACGGTATCTATTGAAGTTGGCCAAGAAGTTTCCTCTTCGCCCAGCCGTAACACAGCACCCGGTCTCTTCATCTTCCTAAGTCCTTCTCTCTCTCTTTCCTTTCTCTTCCTCTCTTTTGCTTTCATCCCCCCCCCCCTCACTGCTCACGCGGTGTGTGAGAGAGTGGAGGTCATTGTTGGACTGGTGAGTGGCGCACATAGCTGGAATAGCAGCAGTGTTGGAAGTCTGCTAGGGGCCTGCCACCAAGATCACACAGAGGAAAGGAGGCATCCGCACTCCCAGAGAGGAGGAGGAGGGAGTGGGAGGGGGAGGTGGGGGGGATAAGCAATCTGATCTGGATGACAACAGACTACCAGACGAGCTATGATCTCATCGCTCCCTTAACCTCCCCCTCCTCCTCCCTCCTTCCCTCCTCTCCATCCACCCCCTCTCTCCTCTCCCACTGTTGCTATTGTCTCTCTCTCTTCCCACTTTTGTTCCCCCCGATCTCCTCCCCTGTCTCTTTTTCCTCCGACTTTCTTTTCTCTGATCTCACCCCATCTCATCTTGCCTTCTTCTCTTTCACTCTGAACCCCCTCTCCCTCCCCTTCATCCTCCTCCTTTTCGTCCCTTTTGCATCACTTTCTACCACCTGCCCCTCACATGTCTCAACACACACACACACACACACACACACACACACACACACACACCTCTTGACGCACTTGCACTCTCTAGTGTCCCAGGCCAGAGATTAGGCGCACCCCTATCGTCAACCCTCCACACCAGTCTCTACATTATTGATGCCTTGTCTGTGTGTGTGTGTGTGTGTGTGTGTGTGTTGTGCATTTATGCTGTAATGGCTATCTGGTGTCTCCCCTGGGAGGCATGGAGGAGGGGGGGAGGGAGGAAAGGAGCCAAAGAGAGGGAGAGTGGAGGTCAGAGAGGTTAAGTGTGGTGGAGGGGGTTAGGACGTGCTCTGAAGGCTCTTCCCTGCTGCTCCTCTCTCTCTTCTTCATAACCCAACTTCATACCGATCTCTCACACACACACACACACACACACACACACACACACACACACACACATTCCAAAAATTCCCCGTAGAAATTCTCCTATTGGGTGTAGAAGACTGATGAAACAGATCAGAGTGTGTGTGATAGCTGATCCAGTGTGAGTCAGGACAGCTCAGCCTGGGTTGGACTCCAGAAGGACAAAGGCACCTGTTCTTGCTCTCAGCATTCCTCTAAACCTAATCCCCACTATCTGTCTCTCTCTCTCTCTTACACACACACACACACACACGCACACACACACACACACACACACTATATATATGCAATGTGCTAGCTTTTATATACAGCGTCATTTCAGGTATAGAATGTCCTCTATTCACACAAAGCCCTGGCTGCCAGTCCTCCAAGTATTTACATGGGATCCATTTCAAGGACCTGAAATATGATGTGTGTGTGTGTGTGTGTGTGTGTGTGTGTGTGTGTGTGTGTGTGTGTGTAGTGACCTCTGTGGTCAATGCCAAAGTCAAAAAGATCACTACAGATGCGTCTTGACTGACACACACATGCTCACAAAGTCACCGACTCACATTTGCACAAAGACATTTGCACAAAGCGGTGATGTTCTTTTCTTAATATTTATCTGTTTTGAGCTTCGCTTGGTCAACTCCTGCTTTGTGTGTGTGTGTGTGTGTGTGTGTGTGTTATTGTTGGAGGCTCAGCCGGGCCAATATGTTTATGATTGCCCCCGGTGTGTTCCTCTGTGATTGTAGCTCACTCAGGGGTTTGATCGTGCAACAAGTGTTTGTTTGAGAGTGAGAGAGGAGGAGGAGGGTGGGAAGTGAAAAAGGAAATAAAACGACAGTGAGGGAGTGTTGTTTCATTTGCATGCTAACTGCTACCTACTTGTCTGGAAAGTCTGAGGAAAATAACAAACGCAGACGGCACAGTTTATGCCGTTTTTACACCCATGGTCACTTCACACTTCACACATCGTGGTGTTCGTTATAAAGAACAATAATCTGTAGTTTGTTGACGGCCTCATCGGCCACATACGATCTGCAAAATATTCAGCATGGATAAAAAAATCAAATCCCGTCTGGAATTTGGAGATGGAAAACATGTAGGCACATTGTTTGACTGATATTCAAAAAATCTTTAATTGAGTCACAAAATGATTCCTGAGTAGGTGAGTGATTCATTGACCGTGCCTTGCAAATGCATCATTGTAATTGGAGGAAAACCACCAAGGAATAGCCAGCATAGCTCTCCTCTCTGCCTACTTCTAACGTTAACAACTGGAAACGTGCCTGCTTCTGGTGGGTCTGTTCCATAGAAATAAATCAAAGGAAAAAAATTTGTAAAGTTATTAACTCAAGTTTATGTTCGTACAGATTCTTAATAGTCTGGCAGATGTGCTTTCCGCGTTATTTAGTGTTATCCAGTGACTAAATGGTCTGAACAGGCCGGTGCGGCAGAGATTATCAGGGCTATCTATCTCTGCCTCGGGCTGAGATCCTGCAAATCCATTGACAAGCCTGCACATCCATAATCTGTTGATTTGGGCCTGTTTGTTTTCCAATTTCCAGCCCAGCCTGTCTCTTTCCCTCTGTGGCCATTCACATGCGGTGCAGCTGCATGCATTGCAAACACTGGTTTCATGCTAGCATTGTATGCTTTTCCATGTCCTCCCAAAGAAGGAAGTAATAATAATATAAACCGCGACAGTACAACAAATAAAGCTGTACTTTTTCTAAAAATTTACAACTTTCAATTAATTTTCATAGTGACAGAGGGGGTTGTTTATGTGGTTTAATTAGAGTGTGTTTCTAATAACGTATGTGACTTGTCTTGTGTTTGATTACATCAGACTTGCAACATTTTTATTCCGGGAAGTCAGTGTAATGTGGAGCTTATTAATAATATTTGCACCAAACATTATAGAATAACATCAGCTGGCATTACATTTCCTGCAAAACAACACTTCATCAGGGTGGATGCTATTTCTCTTAACAGCTCCACCTCCTCACTTTGTGCATTTATCCGCGCCGTGAGGATGACTGTTGATGGTCTAAAAGCCAGTCCAGGCTATATCGAGCTGAACATTATACTGTAATACTCTATTTTGCTGTGGTCGTGTCGAATTCTCTTGACCACCCGGGCAACAGAATGTTAGTGGGAGACTTGCATAAACATTTTCAAACACGAGCACTGGCACAGAAAGCTCTTTCTAACTTGTACATTTGGGCGCGCACACACACATGCTCATGCTAACAGGCGTACACCCACGCCCACAGTCTCGTTCTGTGTCTCTTACTCTGCGTTTCCTTCGAGCCGCGGGTGGAGAGACATGCAGGGACAGACAGGGGAGATGACTGGCCGTGTTGTTTTCCTCCGGTCGTAGGAAATAGTGACTGCACGAGAGGAAAGAGGTGGAGGAGAGTTGGAAAGGTTTTTTGTGTGCCGAACTGTTCCATGAAGCCCACTTACACTACTTTCAGTATTGTAGTTTCAGTGTGTGTGTGTGTTTCCTGTGAAGAGGTGCTGTGGTCATGACAGTAGAAGAATGCGGTTTAAACAAAACCCTTAGTTCACCTCTCCATTGAGCCGTCTACATTTCTATTCGCCGAGCATTTCTAGGTAGTTTTTAGCAGAGACCCCTCTTGCAAACACCTGAACAACATTAAACAAAAAAGGGCCAAACATCTGGAAAGGGGTGAGACAGCCTAGCTGACCAAATAATCCTTTTATGGTCACATAAATACACGTTAATGACAACAGCTGTGCTGTGTAATCGGCTATATTAACATTTAAAATGCATAAACGCAGAAAAAGTGAGACAGAAAGTTGCCTTCATCAGACAAATCAAAGCCTCTGAAGCTTCCTTCAGGCACACAAGGATGAAGTTTACATGCCTTTATTAGTTTAGAGCATATCAAAGTTAAAAAGTGCACGTGTTCCCCCACACTTGAAAGAGAAGTCTTCAACCTGCCTCGGGGTCGTAATTAAAATTTTTAGATGTCAATTTAATATGACGTGTGGCTAGTTGTGCACATCGACATATTTTTCTGCTTCTGTCGTCGGAAAATTGAACAAGTGTGAAATACTTATTTAATGGCAGCCCATAACTTTTACCTGTTAAGCAGCAGTCCGTCCCAAACTGCCTGCTGCAGTGATAAATCAATATTTTATAATTCAGACGTCATCTGTCTACATAAACATAAATCCAGGATAATGAATGTTGTGTTCTTAACTTTACTGGCACACGGCCCCAGACCCTCACTGGGCTGACTTATATCATCATTTTGGAAAAGTGCTGCCATTGTTTGTTGTTTTTTAACTCTTTCCTGCCCTTAGTCTTGTTTCCAATGGTTCAAACTGTTTAATAAGAGAGACATTGTACGAGAATCATCCACGAAATGTAGTGAAGACAGCTACTGACCTGAAACATCTACGACTGCAGTTATGTGTTGCGCTCTGGTGACGCACACTAACCCCCCCCCCCCCGCTCTCTTTATCTCTCTTTTACAGGGATCGCCTTCCCAGAATGGGCCTACAAGCCCGAGTCTAGCCCGGGGTCCAGGCAGATCCAGCTGTGGCACTTCATCCTGGAGCTGCTCAGGAAAGAGGAGTATCATGACGTCATCGCGTGGCAGGGGGACTACGGCGAGTTTGTGATCAAAGACCCCGATGAAGTGGCCCGGCTGTGGGGGGCCAGGAAGTGTAAACCCCAAATGAACTACGACAAGCTGAGCAGGGCCCTGAGGTATGATGACTGAGAAACCTGCTGAATATGTTTTGATTCTTTGTGTGGAGGTTTGTATTCATTCAGTGTTATTTGCTCCTGTTCCTGACCTTTGAGAAAATACTCTAATACATAATAACTTTTGTGGAAGAACTATTCATATTTCTGGCCGGTGAAAGACGAAGAGCGACTCAAAGACCTTTATGAATCGGTCTCCCTCTGAAACCAGACCTGATGAGTTGGCTCGCAGTAATCTGTCGCCCAGTCACCCGAAACAGTTCACATGGAGCCACAATCTTGTGGGTGGTTTGGCCAAACCGGAGAGGTGTAAGGCTCTAGTGTGTTGGCTTGTGGACTGTGGGCAGAAGCAGGGGCCGTGGTGGACTGACTGACTGGCTACTAGCTCTCTGGATGTCTAATGTCATCTTTTTTGGAGGGGAATGAGCCTGAAATAGTACCGTCTCTGGTTTCAACTAATGGACACGGGATGAAATTGCTCCTTTTCCAGATAATTCAAGCAGGACAGCCGGTTCCTTCCCCAAGCTTTACCCAGCTGGGAAGAGGAACTGTTGACCTCCGCTAAGGATAATGTCGAGAGGTGGAAGGAAAACCTTAAAAGAACTTGTAAGCCTGGCTGTGAAGAAGGCACACTTGAATACCTTTTATTCCTAATAATTTGGGGGATTCATGCCTTTACTAGATGGTTAACAGTATAGAGATGAGAGGAAGTGAGGGGAGAGAGAGATGGGGAATGACTCCGGCTTTTGATTCCAGTTCTAGCAGTGACCTGCTGGAAGCCTTTCATTCAGACCCACAGACCCCGATAGCTTCCACTCTCCGGCTCTGTTTCACCCACACATGCATTAGTCATGCCTGCCAAGGCACTAATAGCACTTAACCAAGTCTATAATACGCGTGAATGTCATAAGAGTGACACGCTGTTGACCTGGACAAGTTTAGCTACTCTTATGCTCCAAGTAGAGTTACAACACTGACCCATTTGGCAGGTCACACCGTTACACCTTTAGGACGCCTGCTTAGCCGAGACATTGACATTGTTTTGGTTGTGACCCTAGCTTCCAGTTCAAGTGTACATATCGCATGAAAATATTAGATTTGATCACCATCAGTCTAGTGTTGGTCTTTGATAGGATTCACCCTCATCAATGGACTTAATCATTTGTTTTGGATCTCTGTTCCTCACTTTTTTGTGAAGAGTAAAATTGTGGTACTTTGATTTCGAGGGTCGCTTGAATCTGCTTTGATAACCGGGTTTTCTAGGTGAGCGGTGAATCAAATTGGACTAACTTGTCAATAAAGCAAATTACCTTCAGGACCGATACAATAGTTGAGGCGTCCATAAAATGGATATAATCTGAGCTACACAACAGATGCTTCTGGTTTTATTTGTGCTTTTTGGCTTCACGAGGAGACAGTGGGGGTCACGATTTAGTTTGATTATAGAAAGAAGATACATCTAATCAATCTTGTGATCCATACTGTAACACAATGACCTCTCGGTAGTTTAGAGTTCAGTATCGCACATCCCTGGGGGACTCTCCTCAGCTTAGGCCAGCAGTGGTAAGAAGAGCATCTCACTCACTGTGTTGTGTGGACCCGGTGAGATTAAGGTAATGTCAGTTACAGATGGGATCCTATGGGGACCGAGGGAATTAACATGGGCTACTAATGTGTGCTAGACACACATACACAATCAGACTTGCAGTCCGGATTTAGGATTCCTGAATGGATGAGGCTACTTGTAGTCAAGCTGTGTATTTATAGCATGTCCATCCTCTAGAGCTGCTACAGATTTGGAGCTTGGGCTGCAGGAAGTGCATATATATATATAGACCTTAGAGGCTGATTATCAGACTTTTTTTCTCGTGTCCAACCTCAGCACTCTTGTGTCCTCATCCACCCTCCTACGGCCAGGTCGTCTCTCTCTCTCTCTTCCTGTAAACGGAGCAGAGTCACTTCAGGACAGTCACCAATACGTCCCACACATGCACTCACCTGCGTCCATGCAGTCACCTGATTTGACACCAGAGCTGTCGTCAGTCCTTCACCGCAAGAGCCACTGGAAATGAAGCCTTGCACATCAATAGTAACGTGCCGACAGGAATAATGGCAGTAAAGACTGGTGAAGTTATAAAGGAGGCACACAAACACACGTGTGAACGATAACGGTCCACATATGGAGCAAAACAGTTGGAGAGCAGGCCAGCTTGTGCCCTTCATCTGGAGAAAACCTGGAGTCTGCTAACAATGGAGACCACAGTCGGCATGTGGCAATTACAAAACACACACTTGCTCCCTCACTTGAAAAGGCGCGACTGTTTTTGAAGTGTTCTTTTTTTATCACTTAGCGGTAATTATTATTTGTACCTCAATGATCTTATTCTTTCATGTCTGCCATGCACATGGTGGAAATTCCCGTAATCAGCGCTGGTGTGTGTGTGTGTGTGTGTGTGCGTGTGTGTGTGTGGAGGGGACACAGTCTCAGTCCATGCGTCATCTCGGTCTGCCGCTCCCACGGCCGCTGTGAAATTCCCACTCTTGTTGAGAGGATTACACTCTCACTGCGTGCACGTTTATTTGCATGTGGACATGCTTGATGTTGAAAGAGGCTCGACTAATATTTCATAGTTTAATTCAGTAATTCAGTTTGTTGTTCTTTCTTGTTATGCATAAAAACAGAAGCATAGAAGGTCTTATGCTGCTCTTTTTATCTCACCTTTTGCTTGGATATTCGGGGCTATCTGACATGTTTGGTGCAAGCAATGAATGAAAGGAAAGTCACAGTCTTTCAACCATCGGCTGCATGTTTCAAGGAAGTAAACCCGCCCACAAATAAAAAGCCTCCACCCCTCCTGATTCCCTGCACCACCGTCTAGCTCTCATAAATGAGACCTGGTGCTGGTCCACACACGAGAGCAGCAGAGGTAGTTAAGCCTGTTGCCAATCAGTCGTTGCAGAGTGCTGGCTTAATGAGCGTAATCATGCTAAGAGGTCCCGGCTCCTCGAGACCTCCAGACCCCCCCCCCCCTGTCCTCGAGTCAACAGCCCGTATCGGCTCCAACACGGGGGTCAGAGGTCAGGGGGACTGCCGCACACAGCTGGCAAAGATTAACAACACAGCACATGTGCACATTCAAATGCACCATTGTACACAGACTTCTTGCCAATGCATGTTTGTAGTGTTCGCTTCATGTCCAACATTAATTTCAATGTGATCGGCCACAACAGCTGGAAAATTGCCACCACAGAAAAAACACCTAACTAGAATGATGATTCCACAAGGTCCCTGGTTATGGTGATGCTGTGAATTTAGAATATTTATTGAGTGCTAAAACGTCATGAGAACATGCATATAACACCCTAAATGTGTTGATGGTAATATGGTAGAGTATGATGGTGTAAAGCCCAAATTGGCTCTGATGTGCATTTAGAAGTAACCCCAATGCCCACAGCTGCAAAACATCTTGCAGAGAATACTGCTGCGTATGCACACAGTGTTACTCACCTATCAGGCCGGTTTATAGGTCAGAAGGCCTCGCTCTACATCAGCGCGCCGTGTGGAAACACCCAGGGCCGGAGAGAAAGTGCCAAGGGAGCAGCCAGGGACAGTACCACTGTATGACTTTGTGTTCACCGTATGCTAGCGTCCACTGTCTTTCCATTGTCTCTTTCTGCAGCATGTATGTGTTCAACTTGAGCATTGTGTGTATGGCATTGTCCCTCACTGAATGAGCCCTTTATTTTATATGGGGGCGGAATAAACACACACACACACACACCAGAGTGTGCTCGGGTACATATTCGCGCCACCCACAGAGCATGTGACTATTGTAATTGGACCCTGACCTGACCCCCCTCTTCACAGACAAACATATATATTTATATCTATGCCAGGACAAACTAATTTCCTTTTTTAAGCAGGAAACACTCATCAAACCTGGTTTCCTCACAAAGCACGCTCACGTGTGCAGCTTTTACACACGCACACACACCTGTGGCAGCTGGTGTGTTTGTGTGTGTCGAGAAGGATCTGGCTGGGATGTTTGTGTAACAGCCAACGCTGACGAAAGAGGCAGAAAATAAACACGGGGCTCATGGGGAGTATTGTAATCCCAACTTCCTGTCACCGTCAGCGCCTATTTACAACCCAACAATGGGCAAGGCACAGCCTGTCCACACACACACACACACGCACACAAGCGGGTTGGTTCAATTCATTTTTAGTGTCGACGTGTGTGTGTAGAGTGATACTGATATAGATTGTTGAGCTTCTACAGATATCATGTCATAGGGTAATACAAGAAGTTGGCTATTGCGTACAGTCCTGAACTGAATGTACAGATAGAACACATTTAGTCACAACTTTATTTTTCCATAGTGGTCAAACACTTGTATATTTTGCAAAAAAAACTCCAGCAACTTATCAAAATAAAGTTGTAATATACAGTTAATAATAAACTCCTTTTAAATAATAACTTTTCCGATTTTGTACCACACTGTGGTTGATTATGTTAAAGGCCACACAGTGTGGCTTCTTTGTTAAATGAGCAAAATGAAGGGTTTAGGGAAAGTTGTTATACTATTCAAAGTAAAAAATAAACAGACACTGGTATTGTATTGTCATCAGTATGAAAAAGAATATCAAATAACACATTGGTAAATGATAATACTGAGTTTAAAGGGCTTCAAACCGGGTTGGAGTGCTGTTTTTATGTCTATGCTCATTCATTACCATTGAGTCCCTGCACTCGTGTGTGTGTGTGTGTGTGTGTGTGTGTGTGTGTGTGTGTGTGTGTGTGTGTGTGTGTGTGTGTGTGTGTGTGTGTGTGTGTGTGTGTGTGTGTGTGTGTGTGTCCTTTGATCATAATGTTTTAGACCAGTGGTTCTCAAACTTTTTCTGTCGCGCCCCACTTTGGAGGAAGAAAAATGTTCATGCCCCACCGCCCCAACAAAATTGTAACAAAATGGTCCATGTTTAATTTTTATTGAAATAACATTTTGTGACTCCTGTGCTTTTTCAAATAATAGAATAAAGAAAATTGCAATTACTTTTAAGTAAACCAGATTGCTCCATCAGACAAAAACAAATAAAATGTGCAATCACTTTGTTAGAACAATGCAAATAAAGTTTGTGCAAAAAAGAACTGCAATTGGCTGCAATTAACCTGTTTTGCACTAAACATCTTTTCAAGATAACAATAAAGTGCAAACTGTGAAAAACTAAACAAAACAAGTTTCATACTATCCGCAGCTAGAGTTTTCAGACATAAAACACAGACTGGTCTCTCCTCATCTCCTACCGCGTTCACTGTGAAACCCAGAGCAAGATAGGTGTCATCATATTTTCTTCTTGGCTGCTTGCTGTTCGCCTCGGATGCATCGCTTGCGGTTGCTTTTCTGTTCCCGCCTGCCAAATGTCTCTTCATTTGGAACACTAAGCCACACATGTGAGTCGCCAAGGATCATGGCCGTAGCGCATGCGCAAGTGTAACCTGTTAACGGCGTAACGTAAACATTTACACGAAAGTACAGGCATTTCGCCATGTATTTATTAATTACTTAAATTAAAAATAAAAAAATTAAAAAAAATCTGCATTTCCCCCTGCGCCCCACCTGTAATACCACCGCGCCCCACTAGAGGGGTGCGCCCCACAGTTTGAGAACCACTGTTTTAGACCATAGCAGGTCTGTGTAATCGCAGCTTTAATCCTTGGCCTAAAATCACACACGGTAACAACATGCGCTGATAGAAATCCTCCCCTCTGCTCCCCTGAAGGATTTGCATAAACCCTTACTCGCTCTGATTGGTCAATGTACTCCTTTGGTTAAACCATCTCCTGGATGGTATGTTCTGTGGGCATGTGTGGGAAACACATACACCCATGTGTGTGAGCAGGTCCGAATAAGATGGCAGTTATAGAGTCAGGATATGGGAGAGGTGTGTGTGTGCGTACGTGCGTGCGTGTGTGTGCGTGCGTGTGTGTGTGTGTAAGGCATGTGTGGTGGGCAGCTAAACACAGGCACTCAAAGAATCTCTTTCTTCTCTTTTGAAGTGAGTTCAAATGCTCTTCAAAGTCAGCGTGTGCGATGGTGCAGGAGGTGGGGGCCTGAAGAAAGAAGGGGCAACCATGTGCTCTAAATGCAGCATCAGTTGCCGCGGCTAGGGTTACGCAAAAGTTGTTGTCTGCTTCCCGCTATGCATCTCGGCGTTCTTTGTATTAGGTGCACGTGTGTGTGTGTGTGTGTGTGTGTGTGTGTGTGTGCAGCCAAGCGCGCACAAGATTTTTGTTGGCTACGCTCCCAACTATCCAACCGCCATGAGCCAATGTTAGACAGATGTGTCAGCACAGTGATATTATTGGCCTTTGGGATGCGTCCATATTAATGCCAATTATACACTAAGGTACGCCGATCTAAAAATGAATGCAGTGTGGTGTAGCGGCTCACAATAACTCTTACCGTCGTTAAGGACAGTTTGAGTTTTAGAGAGGAGTTGATTCAACATTTAGTTTTACCTAATAAACGAGCTATTTTATAAGGTATTTCACAGTGTGATGTTTGTTAATAAAGGTGAAGTACATCATGAAATTTTGCTCCAATGGTGCACAAAATAAATAATTTTTAGATACTTTGGATTTGTTCCCTTGTAATCCGTATTATATTCGACCCGTGTGTGGGCCCTAGCACAGCTTGTTGACTTTTCTGTCATCGGCTAATTCGATCACAGTCTCGTCGTGGTTTTAATTCTGCTCGACTTCCTGCCTGTCTCGGCCTGTCTCCTCGCTCCCTACTCCTCCTCTCCCCTCCTCCGTGGCCCATGTGAGTGTCTCCCCTAGAGCAGAAATTACATGCTGCTTTGTGCCTGGCGTAAACAATGTTTTAAACAGTGCAGGCCTGTCCTGTCTCCCTCCCTCCCTCTCTTTCTCCCTCACCCTCTCCTGTCGCCTCAGGGGACGAGTGCCGAGCGCAAGGGAGAGAGTTGGAATAAAGAGGGGAGAGAGAGAGAGGTATCAGTGGGATAAAGGGGGGGGGGGGGAGGAGGAGGAGGAGGGTTGAAGAGAACAAGTGAAAAAGAGCAACAGTCTGTTCCCAGAGCCAAATCGGCCCAACCAGTCTGTGTAATAAGCATAATAAGAGGGGGTGAAGGGTGACACCTCCCCAACACCAAACAGACAGACACGCGCGCACACACACTCCCGTCTGGATAACTACCATTCAGCATAATGATAGTCAATGGGCTCGCATTAACTCTGCATTACCTGCATACCCTGGAGCCCCGATCTTTGTCAGCACACTTCACTTAACTTGTGCCAGCAGACACATGCTGGAGGAAGGGAAGCAGAGCCTGCTGCTGTAAAAGCAGGTCGCTATGCAGACATGATGAGCAATCGTGCAGTCTGGTTGAATCTTATGATCAATAGCCAGGGAAAAAAAGATAGGCGGTAGTGTTTAGTTAGCCTGCCACACAAGCTTGTTATCTCGCGGACAAACACGCCGTCTTTTTTGTTCCTTTCTCGCTCTTTGTCGCTTTCTCTTTTCCTTCGCTTTGTCTCCTTCAGTGTGTGAGGGTTGGCAGAGAGGGATGTAGAGGTTACATAAAGTGGATGTGGATCTGGGGAAGAAAGCAGAGAGACGTTACATAAAGAGCTGAAGCTGGACAAAGGTTAATACAAATGGAGCCTTGTACTGTAGGCAGGAGCCATGAAAGAGAGAATGGCCATTACATAAGCAGATAAAGATGGGGAGAATTATTGGTGGCTTTGCTGTTACATAAAGAGATGGCTCCGTCTAGCAAAGTGAACGACAGACACTGTTGTTTGTATGGGATACTTGTCTAGCAAACATCTGAACATGTAACACTGTGAAAGACACTTTTCCTGTTTCTTCCTGGCTTTCTTTTAGACCACTACATACAAAATCCACACAAAGTAACATGAGTCTCACACACACACACACACACACACACACACACACACACACTCACACTCACACACACACGTGTCGAACATGAATGCAATTGCTGACACACCCTTGTGGCCTTAGAACCCATTTACGTTCCACATTTGGCATTAAGCATTGACCTCTGGTCTGTTAAGTCTTTGTTTATGCTGACACAGCATCACTGCTGCTCCACAGCTCACTTCATCCTCCGCCTCACATCTATCTGTTTTCCATCTTTTTACCCCCCCCCACCTCCCACCTCTCTTTACTGGGTCTGCTTTGTGCAAATGTCATACAACACTCTTTAATATCTATCATTAGAAGTGTGTGTGTGTGTGTGGGGGGGGGCGACGACATGAAAGACTCGTGCTTATTAAAGTGTGTGCTTGAGTGTGAAGTCGCATCTGTCATAGTCTCATGAATTCAGGAACATAATTATTATTTAAATGAGGTGTGCTTCTTAAATTGAATGTTTCAGCGTTGTTAATAGGCCAGTATTTTATACTCCTTGGTGGCAAAAGATAATACGCAGTTATTTAACCCTGTGTCTTTTATATTTGTCTTTGCATGCATTAGGTGCGTGTGTGTCTTTTCTTCATGTATGTTTTATTTATCATGTCTGTTTTTATTCTCTTTTTCAGATACTACTACAACAAGAGGATCCTCCATAAGACCAAAGGCAAGAGGTTCACCTATAAGTTTAACTTCAACAAACTGGTTTTGGTCAACTACCCCTTCATCGACATGGGCTCCACCGGTAAGCCGTGTGTGTGTGTGTGTGTGTGTGTGTGTGTGTGTGTGTGTGTGTGTGTGTGTGTGTGTGTGTGTGTGTGTGAGACG